TAAACTGCATTTACAAGAGAACTTCCTAATGGTGGCAAAGTTTACCTGAGTAAGCAACTGAAAATCGATCCGACATCCCTCATGAAAGATACATCGTGAACACGGCAACATCTATCAAGCCCTATTTAATACTTCAACGATAGATAAACTCCAAAATGACTTGTAGATATACCGTAGAGAACGAATTTGCTGTGTGTGCTCTATGTATATACATAACTAATTCAGCTAATTAGATAAGAGCAAACTTTGATTAAGTTAAACACTGAAACGAAACATAATGAGGAGTTTGTGTTGGACTTTTAAGATTGATATAGTAGTTTGAAATGTAAATCGGGAGAATATAAATGGATCAAATTTTAGACTTATATTTCAAATTTTCATATTTTCTAATTTCTCAGTTCTCAATTTTTCTTTGTATTTTCAAATTTTTTCTTTTTTACATTGTTAAATTTTCACATTTTCTGATTTTTGTATTTACACTTTTTTGTATATTTCAGTTTTCAATTGTGCAATTTTTGTTATTTTCAGATTTTCATATTTTTTTTTTCACACTGTCCAATTTTCTGATTTTCATATTTTGTGATTTCACGCTGTCGGAAATTCTCTATTTCCATGTTTCCACATTTCTCCAATTTTTGCATTCATAAAATTTACAATTTTCACGTTCTCAAATTTGAAATATTTCAACTTTCAAATCGTCCAATTTCAAGGTTTCTAAATTTAGAAATTTTTTTAAATGATTCCACCCTTTCAAAGTGAATCTCCTTTTAACAAAGTTAATATTGTTTCATTTATTTGTGCTAATAATACTACGAACAAATTGTTTACAATAAAGTGTACTAAACATGTACACAGTATACACCTATATAGATTGACGATTCGATATAAGTGAAAATACGATCTAAGCAAGCACTCGACATGTTTCCGTTCCGACTATTCTATTCAACAAAACACCAATCAACGTACAAATTGTACAATATAAACGAAAGTGTAGGACCAGGAGATTCACTTATATCGAATACTTACCACATTTTTGAGGTAACGCGTCCTATTCAAAGCAGCGATACGAAATTTGGCGAATAAGCGCAAGCAAGTAAACTGGTCAGTGGTAGAAAATCGAATAGCCAAGTCAAGCCCCCAGGAGGATTAATTTAAGGACTAGATAAATCATTCTGCTATCTCGGCAACCACGACAAAAAAACATTTATCTTCCGGCTAACCTGGCCGGAAGCGGTACATACTCTACAAAAGTCGCGGTTATAATCTGTGTTGATCATTAACCGTAAAAAAGGATGCAGGAATTGTTAAAGTAGTGTCACTCGGAATAACAATTAAATGAACTATTTAATTAACTCTCAGCACTCGTATATCAAGTATGACAAGATTCTCTTAACAAGTGCATTAGAATAAAATTTTTCATTATTACATTTTTACCAAAGACATACTTAAACTTTGATAATTTACTTTCTTCGAAAATTCACAAAATATGTAATTTCCAAATGTTCCAATATCGTGTATCAGTGCAAAGAGGTGCCCCATGGTGCCTAAACTTGGCGTTACCTTTTATTTACATGTAACGTACTTTTGTGGGATTTAATACTCTTAGAGAACGTGGTGAAGGCAAAAAAGTGCGAATGAAAACATATGAAAAGGATGATTGAATTGAAACGGTGAGCGAGTGAGCCAGTAGAGTGAGCCTATAGTGGCGCTACGTAAACGATGACATTCGCGAAACTATAGTGGACCGTCATACAGAGAGCTATCCGCGAAAGCCACTATAGTGCCTAAGAGGTTAATATTGCAAGACATTGAATTTCGCAAGGTTTGTGCACCGGAAAGTATTGAAACTTTGCAAATATTTAAGTTTGCGTCGATTCTTGCATTTCGAAATATTGATCCATGCAAATATTTTCATTCGCTAAATTTTATAATGGCGAAGTATTCAATTTTGCAAGGTTTGTGCATCAGAAAATATGGAAACTGCAAATATTCAAGTTTGCACCGACTTTTGAATTTGAAACTATAGATCCCTGCAAATATATTTATAAAATTTAATAGTAACAAAGTACTGAATTTTTGCAAGGATTGATGACTAAAATATAGTAAACAATTAAATTTGCAATAGGGTATTTGCATAATAGGGTGTTGAATTTTGCGAGGTTTGTGGACATTTGCGAATTGTGCGATTTAAGCAAGATTTTTTCCTTGTACAAGATTTAACTCTTTGTCCTCTGATCTATTTGTGATGTGCGTCAGAGCTAATCACAATTACAATTTATGCATGACTTTCATGAGAATGTATTAGTATCGTGAGTTTTATCAGTTTGTTGAATTTTGGTTAATAAATTAAACAGCAGTGAAAAATAGTGTTAGGATTAGCTTCAGGAAAATAAACTGCAGTGCTGAGGTGAACGGAAAATACTTTAATAATATAAAAATGTCTTTACAAAATGCGCGGTGCTTCGTAGACGAAGGTAAAACTGTAACTGTAGGACAAAGCATCGTGATGCGTGTTCGGACGCGCATAGCGCAGTTCATTTGTTTTGTCCGTTACTTCCAACACTCCCCCTCAAAACAAGGA